ATCTCTATGAGTTCAAGGCCACCCTGGGCTACATGTGAATGAATCAGTCTAAAAGAGAAAGAGAGCTCACACCTTTGATCCCAGCACTTGGGATGACATGCCTTTTCACCAGCACTAGTGAGGAATATAAGGCAGGAGCTCAGTGTAATCTCAAGGCAGTCTGATGTTCTGATGTTTGATGAAGAACAATGCAGTCAGCAGTCACTCTGGTAGAAGTAAGAACTCTCTAGTGGATGGGCTGCTTTTCTTTTCTGATATTCAGCTTGAAACCCAATATCTGTCTCTGGGTTTTTATTACTTGTGCTACATTGTGCTAAAGCTAGCCAGATGGAGAATAAATCAGACACACAAAATGAGATAGGGGTAAGAACCATGAGCCTTAGAACAACACATAGAATAGTAGAAATGGGTTAAGTTGTAAGAGCTAGTTAGTAATAAGCCTGACCTATTGGCTGACCATTTATGACTTATATTAACCCTCTGAGTGATTACTTGGGAGCAGGTGGTCAGAACAGAAAAACTCTGCCTACAAAGGGGATTTGGGAGATAGTTCAGCTGGTAAAGTGCTTGCCTTTTGAGTAAAATCTCTCAGAATCCACATTAAAAAATAGGTGTAGTGGCATGCACTTATTATCCTAGCACTAGTGAGTTGGAGGCAGGTGGATCCCTGGGGCTCACTGGCCAGCCAGTTAATTTTAATCAGTGAGCTCTAGGCCTGTCCCCCCCCAAAAAAAACATGTTGATAGGTGTCTCTAGGAATGTCACCCAGATTGACCTCCTCATGCACACACACACACACACACACACACACACACACACACACACACACACACACACTGTTGTGTGACAGATTTCCTATAGAGATGTGAAGAAATATCTGTTCACCCTGAGAGGAATCTGGATGTCCCAATCCAGTGCTAGAGTCCTATAGGATTCCTGGAGAGTTCTGATCGTCCCTCTACATTGGAATCCTGAAGAATCTGACTTTAACACCTGTTGCAACACGAGAGAGGAACATCCAGTGAGAGTGGGGTGAGCGGGCAGAAAGCCAAGCTTCCTTCTTTCATGTCCTTTTCTGTGGGCTCACACCAGATGGTGTGGCCCAGATTTAGGGTGGGTCTTTTGACCTCAAATAATCTAAGAAAATGGGTCCAGTGGCTCAGGGTTTGGTTGGTTCTAAATGTAATCAAGTTTATAACATGATTAACCATAGAAGCTGGCATTGAATGCTGGGATTACACTTATGTGCTTCGACACCCATGTCTGTTAAATAATGTACGTAGCATAAATAAATTTTAACACGTATAACACAAATTATCACGTTAGCCATTGTGAGAAGGCCATTCTCATTGTTTCTACCACTGCTATACACTTCTAAGACCTTCCCCACCACCTTGTTTTAGGGTTTCTACTGTTGTGAAGAGACACCATGACTGGTTTACAGTCCAGAGGTTTAGTCCATAATAGTCATGGCAGGAAGCATGGCTGTGTGCAGACAGATGTGGTGCTAGAGAAGGAGTTGAGAGTTCTACATCTGGATTGGCAGGCAGCAGGAGGAGAGAGTGAACCAACTTGGCCTGACTTGAGCCTGAAACCTCAAAGCCCACCCCCAGAGACACACTTTCTCCAAAAAACCACACCTTCTCCCAAAAGGCCACACCTCCTAATAGTGCCACTCCTTATTAACCTATGGGGGCCACTTTCAAACCACCACAATCCGTAACATAAATCTCCAGCCAGTAGGCATTTACCCCTCAATCCTGCCTAATTTCAACCCATAGAACCCAAGTTTTTTTGTCTTGATATGTTTACCCATTGTGGATGTTTCCTATACATGGAATCATAGCATATGTGACCTCTTGTGATTGGTTTGTTTTATTTAACATGATATTGTTTAGTCTATATCATTGTATATTTATCAAAATCCCATCCTTTTTTTTATTACTGATTAAGGTTAAATTGAAGATAAACCACAATTATTTCCATCTTTTGGCTATTGTGATCTATGTTGCTTATGACAACTAACTCTAAGTATTTACTTGATGCTCTGTTTCCTATCCTTTGGGGCCTATACACAGGGATGGAATTACTGGGCTATATGGTAATTCTGTATTTAACTCCTTGTACCCCCACAACCCTGTGCATTGAACCTAGGACCTTGCAGCCATGCTAGGCAAGCTCCCCACTCCTAAACTAAATGCCCATCCCTATGTTGAACATGTTGAGGACCCATCAAACTGTTTCCCACAGTGGTTCTACAATTTCATATTCCAATAAACAATAAACAAATGAATGTCCCAACTTTCCCACACCCCAAAAACCGACTTCCTTTCCCCTCTTTTTAAAGATGTTTATTTTTATTTTAATATGTATGAATATTTGCCTACATTTATATGTGTGCCTCACACACACACACCTATTGCCTTTAGAGGCCCGAAGAGGATCCCTTGGAACTGGAGTTACAAACAATTCTGAACAACCATGTGGGCGCTGAGAAACCAAACCTCAGTCTTCTGCAAGAGCAGCAAGTACTCTTAGCTTCTGAGTCATCTTTCCAGTTCCTTTGTTTTCCTTTTCAAGCAGAAAGCTAATCCTCAGATGAGTTGCGAAGGTCTGTGAAGTAAGGAACGGTCTATATTTGAGGCATTACATGTTTTCCTGCATTTGTATGATCATCTGATGCTCAATCCCAGAACCAGTCAAGCACATCTACTACCACAGCTGCTGGGGCTTTGCTATGACTCCGGCCACTTTATCAAGCGGTGACACAGTGACGCAAGACAAGGCATGGTTCCCTCATCTAGACCCAAGGGGCATTTGAGTAAGGCAACATCACAGGCCTTATGGGCATTTGTCAAGGGACCATGATGGCCACATGACACCTTGGCAGGTGGGGAGATTGAGAACATACATCTCCTGTTCTGCCTCCATACTACTTCTGGGTCTCCCAGGTAATGAAACCCAAACAAACCATTCAGACCATTAAACTAAAAAGCCATTCCATTAACTAAAGCAAACAAACATAAAATGTATCTATTCACCTGTAACACTAAACAATACTTCCTGCAGACATCTTTTGATTCTTATCCTTTGTGGGTTTTTTTTCAAACTTCCATGATAGTTTCAGATCTCATTTTTTAAATACCACATTGGCAGCTACTGAAAATTCTACTATAGTCTAGCAGCCTGTATTTAAAATTACTCACTCAGCGTTTGTCAACTTTTTTTTAAATCTCTGGGTTGGGTTGGCAGCAATCACAGGTAGCCCAGACTTAGGAATTGGAAAGAAGTAGAAGACTCATCATTCACAATGTAGAATTTTGTCAGCAGAGGGGCAGCACGTCAATCAAGGACAAAGAAATTGCCCCAAAGTAATTTTAATTAGTAATTAATAGGATCTTAACTTGGAAGGAGCGCCATAAGTCACCTACACATGTAACGTGTTATCTTTCCTGCCAACTGCCTGCGCCCTGCCAAGCTTTCTGAGCCCCTAAATAACACACAAGACACTGTGTTAATTATGAAGCTGTTGGCCATTTGGTTTCTTTTCTGCTAGGTCTGATTTGATTATTAACCCATAATTACTCATATATATTTTATAAGAACTTATCTTTGCTAGAACGTATTCCTGCTCTGTCCATTCCTCCCGGGAGTCACATGGCAACCAGCTCCTTCACTGCATTTCCCAGAATCCTCCTAGACTCCTAGTCCCACCTATCTTGCTTCCCTATTGGCCAACAGTGCTTTATTGACATATACACAGGACTCTCCCATCATCTCCTCTTTTCTATCTAAATAAAAAGGTTTTAACTTTCACATAGTCAAATTATATATAACAGAACAGTTATCAAGCAAGAACTATAGATACAATATTTTGTTCATTAACATTTAGTAAGATTTAAAGAAAATATCATCTACCCTATCTTTGTGAATCTAAACTCTCATATGTAGCTTATCTTTTATCATAACTAAGGAAAACTATAATTATAACTATTTGTCTTTAGTTCCATCAAATACCACAGAAGGATAATATATAAACACTAAAATTGACAGAGACACCTAGCTACCTGGACAGTCACCTGAAGTTCCTCTGTAACGTTAGGGCATCCATCTTCAGCCCATAGGCCACAATGTGTCTGGAAGACTTCTCAGCAAAGCATGAAATTTCAAACAGTTCATCTATATTGGCAGTCTGTCAATCATTTTTCTGTGTCCTGTAGAAAGTCTGGCAGACTCTTCCATGAAGTAGGAACCATGTAGGACTGTTTGAGTTCAGCAGTCACTTTCCTGTGGGTCCTGCATGTCCAGTTTATACAGCAACAGTCAAGCAGTCCAGGCAAGAGCACTTTCTTGCCCAAATGGCTAATCTTGCCATGTTGAAAGCAAACTCCATAACGAGTTTCTTTGATGCCTATCTTCCTCTCAGACTTAATTGATGTGTCAGGAGCAGACATTTCTCATTGTCAAGAAAAACCCTAAACCATTTTAAATGCCATTTTCTGAAGGTCTTTGAAAGGTTTGAAGACTATATCTATCTCAAATATATCTCTCTATATCTAGAAAACCTAACTAACCTAACTAAAAGTAACTATCCATAATATGTATTTAATTATACATCACATTTTAAAAGATTAGAATAAACACAATACTTAAACAAGAGGAGAAATATACATATCACAAAATTGACCTTGAATTTGTATCAATAAATGAAAAACCATACCAATACAAAGTATTCATTCCCATACCATAATTCTCCTTTTACCTTTAAAAAGAGATTGGTTATGATCTTTAACCAATTATAAGCAACCCCATTTAAATGAAAACAAAAATTTATGAACAATATTTGGGAAGTTGGGTATAGTTCATTCCAAACTGTTTCCTGCTAGATAGGGACTCTGTCCACACCATGGGGATCATGACAAAGCTCAGAAACCTGACCAACTCTTTGTTTTTGTAGTTCTTAAGGCTGTATCATCTCAGCTGTTTAGATGTTGGAATACCTGGTCCACTGCTTCTGGGAGTCTTGGTTCCTCAAACCACAGAAGCCTGGGAGGAATCCATGGCTTTTCATTTTCTGTGGAAACATAAACAAAAACTCTTTTTCCAAGTAACCTGTCCTTATATTTAAATTTACAAGTCAAAGCATTTTCAAAAGATATAAGTTGGATTAATTTAACAGCATTTATAATCAAGTGTACTTTAGTAGTTGTTTCTTCCTTAGCAATTGAAAAACCGAAAAACACAATAGCACACAGTATCCAGACTCTGTGTATTTTCCATCTTTACATGGCCTTTTCTTTATTTATCTATTATTATTACTCTACTTTTTAAACTTTTATTTATTTACTTATTTTTTTCTCTGAGACAGGGTTTCTCTGGAAATCTGCCTGCCTCTGCCTCTGGAGCAAATCCTACCAGTGTGTACCACCACAACCACCTTCTCTATTTTTTTTTTAACCACTATCCTGTTTCTCTTTCTCTCTCAAGCCTACGTATATTTTTAAACACATTGTAATCCTTTAGAGGTTTTTCTTCATCTAAATCTGACTTTACTGTAAATCTTTATGTTTTTCTAGCCATGTGTCTGTTACCTGCTAAACAACATTGCTAATCAAAACTGGGGCTGTTTTAACTATGGTTTTTCCAAGATGACGGGCATAAGTTTACCGCCAGTGCTGTAGGCAAGTGTGCTTGTTTCTAGCAAAACAGAGCTCACCCGAGAAAAATGCCAACAAGTAGCTGTGCTTCTCTCTGCTCTTTTGTTTCTAAAATCCCTTTTAAGCTTTTGTCATTCTATGCGGAAATTCATGATCTCATTTCTGACACCATATGTAACATGTTGTCTTCCCCACCAGCCACCTGGGCCCTGTCGAGCTGTCTGAACCCCCAAATAACACACAAGACACTATGTTAATTTTGAAGCTGTTGGCTGTTTGCTTGGTTTCTTATCTGCTAGGTCTAACTTGATTATTAACCCATAATTACTCATATATATTTTATAAGAACTTATCTTTGCTAGGACGTATTCCTGCTCTGTCCATTCCTCCCGGGAGTCACATGGTGACCAGCTCCTTCACTACATTTCCCAGAATCCTCCTAGACTCCTAGTCCCACCTATCTTGCTTCCCTATTGGTCAACAGTGCTTTATTGACATATACACAGTGCTCTCCCATTATACTCACTCTATGTAGTTGTGATCTTCCCTATCATTCAATTGCCCTGCATCTAAGCACTCCAAGAGCAGGACCCTAACCTTAACCTTTGAGTGACTCTTTTCATGGCCTCAGAATTTTATTTCTTCTGAATATTGATAGTAGATTTGACTACCAGTATAAGGGAAACAAGTAATGAGAGATTTTCAGCAGTTGCTATTCCCTTGGATTTTTGTGGTGCTTTCTGAAGAAAAGGGACCTGTGTGCTGTTGAAATAAGCAGGGGCCATAGAAGGAAACAGGACTGAATGCTGTGTTAGCTTCTGATACATAAACGTCAGGAGGGAAACGCGGGTTGGATGCTTTCACTGTGGGAACAAAGAATGAGGGATGATTTGCTTAGTATGTGGTTTAATTTGGAAAGTGGAAATAATGAGATTGAAACAGCTTTTATTCCTGAGAAAATGAAACAGAAAGAGATAAAAGCTGAGTAACTACAATCATGGTGTCAATAAAGCAGTTACAAGAAAGTTGAGCCTGTTACCCGCAAGAGCTGAAGTCCTCTTTTACTTGGATTTTGGAATCATTACTATGCCAGAAAAAAAAGCTCTTTAATTGAATTTGTTGTTCCCTTAGAATTACATAAGTCACACTATTAAATTAACTTAATTTTTAGTTATTTTAATGTTATATGTTTGCTAATGACATGATATATATATATAACATAATATGTAGCTAATATATGCTTCTAGACTTTATGTTTAGAGCTTTTTAATTTTCAAAGGAGATGATTTTGCATTCAAAATAGAGTTTTTGGGGAAGGTGGCAGTTGCTGACGGGATATTTTGCTTTTTGGACATGGGTTTCTCTCAGCCTATTTAAAAAGCACAGGGGTTAGGGGTTTAGTTGCTGCACTTTCCTAAAGGCCCTGGATTACCCTCTGTTGCTATGACATTTTTACATGAGATAAACATAAACTTGACCTAATGTGTGTGTCTATTTACGCAGTAACCCTTTAAATTTTAGGGACATTTAAAACTAATTCTCACTTTACACTTTAATGGAAACACACTTATGACCCCTTGTTTTAAGAGTGATTTGCTATGGAATTGGGAAGAGTGAGAATGAAGATGCTTGTGGCCTGAAGCAGTGTGTGTGTGTGTGTGTGTGTGTGTGTGTGTGTGTGCGTGTGCGTGTGCATGTGTGTGTGTGTGTGTGTGTGTGTGTGTGTGTAAGATGGGAGGAAACTCTTCTTTTTCAGACTTGGGCTTGGTAAGAAAGGCTGTATGCAGCGGATGGCTGAATAATCCATGTGTGATTCCGTTAATGGCTACAGAAGGGCAGTGCTTGAGGCATATTCTAGATAAGGACAGACAGTAGTGGTGGAACCTACAGACTGGCAGAGGACGGTGCTAGCAACATTTGAGAAATCTGAGTGACAGAAGAGTCTTCTGGTGCCTCTTAAATCACACTCAGCCAAAGACATTTGTTTATTAGATGACATTGGCATAATAGATAAGCTCTAAATGCTGTTGGAACTTGTGAGAACTTTTGAAAAGCAATAGAGACCAGAGTATCCAGAGCTGGTATGCATGCCTGTAACCATAGCTGGTGTATGACATTGATGCAAGTTCAAGATGTGCCTGAGTTACACAGTGAATTCATGCCTGGACACAGAGCCAGCCTCTATCATAAACAAACAAACAAAAAATAAAAGCTCAATGAAATGAGATGCTTTTATGAAGAAATAAGACAAAAACAGAAAGGAAAAAGGAGACACCACAATTCAAAACACAAGAATCCAAAAGATTATTAAAGATTGTTTTGAACAATGGTGTGCAAACACATTTTCCAACCAAGAAGAAATGGACAGATTCCTGGGGATGGACAATTTACTATGATTTGTGAAGAAATAGAAAAGCAGAACAAAATAGTGTCAAGTCATGAGAATGAATCAATAATAAAAGTGTGTCCCAGATAACTTCATTGCTGGTCTACCAACCATCTTAAGAAATACTTCTCAGTTCTTCTCAAATCACTCCTGAAAACCAAAGAGGGAAGAGTTCTTTCAAACTCATTCTAAAAGATGAATGTGTCATCCTAACACCAAAACCAGACATGGGCACAGCAACAACAAAAGAAAGCCACAGTCCAATGGCTGTGTTGTACATAGATGCAAAAATGGTTAATAAATTACCAACTGTGTCTTCTACGCAGACATCTAAGTCCATTCATAGCTGCATCAGTGTGGAAGCTAAGGGACAGTAGTACACTGTTGCATTCAGGTTACTGGATGAACAGATGTTCTGTTTGCCCAGGATTGGGGGCTTTCTGAGGTATAGAACTTTAGGTGGTAACATAGGAACAATTCAGGACAAGAACAGTTATTCCATACATGTCTCATAGACACATAGACACATCAAAAGTACACATAGTTATTGAGTGTTCTGTTTCATTTTGATACATGAATAAAATATGTAATGCCCCAATCAGGGGAAGCAATTCTCTCCTGTTAAAACAGTCATTTCTTTTTTTTCTCTCTCTTTCTTTTTCTTTCCTCTTGGTTTTTTGAAGCAGGGGTTATCTATGTAGACTTGGCTGTCCTGGAACTTGCTTTGTCGACCAGGCTGTTCTCAACTCACAGAGATCTGCTGGCCTCTGCATCCCAAATTCTGGGATTAAAGGCATGTGCCACCACCACCTGGCTCATTTCTTACCAGTGAAAACATTGTATCTCCTTTGAAGTGAACAACTGTCTGATTATCATGGTCACACTGCTCTGCAGCAGAACAGCACAGCTCAGTTCTCTAATCTAATTATAAATTAGAGACTATTAATCAAAATCCCCACCATCTCCCTACTGTCTACACTCACAACCTCTGACAATTTAAAGTCTATCGTCAGCTCCTCGAAGTCCAACTTTTTAGATTGTACATGTGAATGAGAGCATAAAGCACTTGTTTTGCACATAACACAGTGATTTTCAGTTCCATGTTGTCATAAATGAAAGACTTCCATCTTTTAATACCTAAGTAGCATTGCATTGTGCATACATATCATATTTTCCTTATCAGTTGATAGGTCCTCAGTCTGCTTCCATGTCTTGGCTTTGTCAACGCTGCTGCCATAACGGGGAAGTGCGGCTGTCTCTTTAATGTACTGATTGATTTCATTTTCTTTGGAAATACACCCAGCGGTAGCATTATGGGGTCAATATAAGAGCTCTAGTTTCAGTGTTATTTGTGGGTCTCTGCAGTGTTTTCCACAACGGCCCTACTAATTTACATTCCTATCAACTGTGCAGGGGTTCCTTTTTCTCCACATCCTTTACAGCCTGTACGGCCTTTTCTTGTCGATAATCATCGTTCCTATTAGAGTGGGTTGATATCTTTTGTGGTCTTAGCTTGCAATTCTCTAGGGGCTCGTGATGTTAGCCCCTCCCCCATATGTGTGTTGATCATTTCTGTGTGCGCTTTTGAATAATGTCTGTTACCCATTGCTATTGACTTGTGTGGTTTCTTTATGTATTTTGGATAAGAACCTCTTTAAGTGAGTAAACAACTAGCCGTGTTTGGGTGCTGGTCTATTATCTCACCAAGATAAGGCAATCCTGTCATCTTCAGAGGACTCTCGAATGTAGTTATCAAAGCAACAGTCACCTGACTAAACTTCCCCAGCTGAAACCACTAGTAAGATGTTGCCAAATTTTAACAGTATGTGATGATAAACATATTATATCCACTAATACCTTTCATTGCATGCTTATTTTTCCTCTTTGTGTGTTACTAGAGCAAAGTGAAGTCAGAAATCATGACTAGACTTCTGTGCAGGTTTGTAGAGGAAAGAGTCAAAGCCAACATTCACTAATGTCTGCATGTGAAGTGTTCTAGACAGG